TTGATGTGTATACGGCCGAATTATGACCCTCTCCTTGACCATCGAAAATCTTCATTAAAGATCATGCCAATGACCATTTCGAGGTTGTCATCATCTTCTTCCTCATGTGACGATGAAGAGCCCTCAAAGATCATCTCTCTCAACCACTTCATCTTGACTAGAAATGACTCGGCTAAATTCAATTAACAAAAATATAAAAAAACAAAAAAATCCACTTAAACAAACCTTCAAACATTTGAAAGGCAGCGGGGTGTCACGGTTGGCCGACGACTTTGAGCAGATACTAGCGGTCGGCGGGGCTTCGAGATGGCCGAAAGTGGGTGGAGAGGCTCGGAAGAAGAACATCCGAGCCACTTTCCGGTGACGGGGTCAATGCGGCGGTGGTATTTGAGCTCGATTCCGGCGTCGACAATGGTCGGGGACTGGCTCGGAATGGTGCAAGAGGGCGGCGACGGCGATGGGAGGCAGTGGGGTGTCGGCATAGGCGGTTTATAGTGCCAGAAGCAACATCGGCGACGACACGGCGCGGGGTGGGGACGGCGCAGGCATGGAGAGAGACCAGACGAAGATTATAGGGGCTACAGCTGCACTTTTGCAGCAAGACTTTTACTCGGCGGGTGGGTGGCCAAGTATTAGGAGTCCGGGCAGCCGAGGAGGGTAAGTTTCCTCCTCTGTCGGTTAGGTGCCGGTTAGAGGAGGGTCCTCTGACGCCAGATAGGGGATCGGTTAGAGATGCCATAATGTTGCATTTTTGTCCTCCAATTGTGCAAGTGCTTATTAGGATTGGCAGGCCAAATTTCTTCGGTTGAGCACAGTACTAAGCGGGGGAAATAGGAGGTGGTACCACCACGATCCGCTTCAACTTGGACCAGAGATCCGTGCTTCGTCGCATCTTACGGAACTCTTGACTTGATTGCTCATCGTACCGCACTGCTGAAGTCAAGCCACAAAGGCGTTTGCTTTCTTATGGTGCGAGGGAAACCTAGCTTGCTAGCTAGCTTACCGCGATTCTTGCCGTGATTGCCCGTCGCGGCGCATGTGTGAAGTCAATCAAACCACGAAAGCTAGCGTGTAGCAGTAGCTACGTCACCCCAGCCTACGGGAGAAAATGAGTTGTCAACTTGTCATACAGACAGACTATAAGCGCAACGTGGGCAAGTAGTGCGCGGGGGATCATCACCATGCGGTCCTGTTTTGGATTCTTTTCGCGTGAGATTCAGGCACGGCCGCACGGGGGCAGTGGCGCCATCGCTGCTGTAGCTTTCGAATCCGTCAAATTGCTCGGCAAAACCTAACCGGACATATACGAGCACTGCAGAGTATGGGTAGCAACAACCACGATCGATCGCGGTGGTGAGAGGCTGATGCAGACCCTGCGTTGAGCTGCACCGGGAAAGAAAGCTCCACAATGTATGTATGACACTATTTGCTCCAGAGGGCACAGCGAATCAGTGCGATCGATTCGTGGCAAAGACAAACGGAATCGGTGCAGGCCAAGCTCCGAGGTGACACGCAGCAGGGAAAGAAGGAAGAGATAGCTCACGGCAACGGCATCATCCTCGGCGATGGCTCTGTCAACTAGGAGTACAATTTCCTCCGCCACTGGCACCAGTCTGTTTTTACAAGGGTGAGTTGTTTTATTTCGGGGAAGCCGTAGGAAAGCAAGTTGTTCATGGTAATCTTTTCACGTGTAAAGTTTGTGGTTTATCACCCATTCATCTTGGCATTCCACGAGATGAGGGTTGAATTAGAAACAAGGATTGGAAAAAAAGTTGAGAGTAAAACTGGAAACAGATTAGGATGCTGACAAGGAAAGCTTCTTTCAATTGGAGGAAGATTGGTACCTGTCAATTCAAGTTTAAGTAGTAGCATTCCCTTTTATATTATGTCTTTTTTATAAAATTTCACTAGGAGTTGGGAAAAGATCAGATTATTTCGGAGCTAGGGTGATGTGGCAAGAGGATGTGCCGTGGGTCTACCTCATCTCTCGTGGCCTTAGGCCATAGAGATGCGGTGGATCTCAGCTTTTGCCGATGGGAGAGCTTCTGTCAGTTTCTAGATGTGTTTTGGTGTTTTTTTAGGATTTGTGTTACATGTAAGAGCAGAGCAGGTGACTCTCTGTTTTGGAGTTACATGTGAAAGATGTTGTAAAAAGAGGCTTACAAATGGAAAAAGGAACGAGGTTTCGGGAGGAGTGGTAGATAGGGGATGCACCACTATATTAGCAATTCCCTATTCTGCATAATTTTTGCTTTAGCGAGGAGAGGAAAGTGTGCTTTATGAGAAAGAAGTTGGATAACTGTAGCAAGCTATGGCACTATCAATAAGTCTAGTATATTTAAAAGATGTTGTTGTTTGGTCTTGCAAAAGACAGGCAGATTCGCTGTTAGTTCTTTCTACAAGAATTATAGTGGATGGGTTCTTCTTTCCCACGAAAATAACTGCGAAAAATAATGTTTCCTTTGGGTATCAAACAATTTATTTGGCTGGTGGCTCATAATAGCATCCCTGGCAATAATAATAATAATAATAATAATAATAATAATAATAATAACAACAACATCCTTACTAGTGAAGGGAAGTGGATCCGTTTTTGAATGTGTGGGTTCATGCTTTTGCTCGTGAAACGAAGTGTTTGATCTTGGTTTGGATTGACGTTGTTCTTTGGTCAGTATGGACCACAAGGAACAAACCTCATGATTCGGTAGTGATTGCCAAACTACTCCCTCCGTTCGAAATTACTTGTCGTGAAAATGGATGTATCTAGATGTATTTTAGTTCTAGATACATCCATTTCCGAGACAAGTAATTCCGAACGGAGGGAGTAGTTAGCCATTGGCTCAATACGTGGCCTGATATACTACAAATTAAGGAGGCGAGATGAAGTCTACTGTTTTTTTTTTTTTGAGGGGGAAATGAAGTCTACTGTTATGAGGAACAAAATTGTTCGAGCAAATGGCAAGGAGGTTTTCAGTTTTCTTTCTTTAGAACAAGCAAGGAGGCTTTTAGTCTGACGGATCGGAAATGCTGAAGACTGTCGAATGAGGGGCCCATGGCCCATGTACTGTTGGCCAACGTGGCCCAAGCCCATATCAGAGAGGTGCACGACCTAGAGGAGAAGGTGCTCAAAAAAATTACAGGACAGAGTTTCTCAAAAAAGGAAAAAAAACGAAGAGGAGGAGCGCTGACAGAATGATTTTTTTTTTGCGAGAAAAACTTTCAATCTATTCATCTTCAATCATGATAGTACAACAAACACTAGAAATAATAAACGAAAATGTTAATGCCCACACGTGTGGGCGTTTGCACATCGCCCACATGCCTCCATCACCATTCATTTTGCCAGTATGAATAGATGACATCAGCAGAATTTTTTTTGGTTTTCGGCTTAAAAATGTTGTATCTCCTAAATAAAAAAGCGACCTAAAAATCCGTTTTCATCATTAAATCCGTCTCGACGAGATCTTCAAAATTAGACCCCATGTTGATATGTTTCGACAAATTTTTTTTTTGCCAGAAGTTGCCACGATGTTTACACTGCAGTTGTCATAGGGCTTAAACTAAAGTTGCCATGTGGCAATTTTAGTTTGTAGATCATGGCAATTTTAGTATTTTGATGATGACAACTCCAGTACTTTGACCATGAAAATTATTTTTTGTATGAACCATGGCAATTTTACGTGCATGTATCATGACAATTTTAGTTTATGGTTCATGGCAAGTCTAGTTTCTTAATTCCCCGTTTTATAAATGTCAAAATTTACTTTTAAACGTAGAAGAAAATAGCTGAAACATATCATGGCAACTTCAGTGTAAACATCATGACAATTCATATGCAATAGACATGCCAACTTTTAATCAAAAAAAAATTCATCAAAACATATCAACATGAGATCTAGTTTCGAAGATCTCATCGCGAGGGATTTAATGGTGAAAACGGATTTTCAATCGGATTTTTCGTTTAAGAGATAAACATTTTAAGAACTGAAAATCTAAAAAGATTCCTGCATGCATGCATGCGATGACGTGGCAATCTGTTTACATTAAAGACGTGTGGTGCGTCTTCCTTCTTGCCACACGTGTGGCAGTTAGCGCGACCCATAATAAAATTACATCCAGATCCATAGACCACCTAGCGATGACTACAAGCACTGAAGCGAGCCGAAGACGCGCCGCTGTCATCGCCCCTCCCTCGCCGTTACCGGTATTTGGAAACGGATGTAGTAGTAGCTTGTACGCGTCTCCTCAACCCTACAGAGACCGGTGCTAATGGGCAAACCTGAAAGATGCAGTGTCAAGTGGATATGCATGTGGGAGTGCTTCCTTGCTTCGGCTCAAGCTGTTGCCTTTCCTTCTGTTGGAAAAAAAACTTGAAGTTAGTTCTTCCTTGTGAGGTAGTTTTAGCATGGTTTTGGCTGGAGATGTGGAATGGCCTTGAATTGGTTCTCTGATGCTAGGCTGTTTCCTTCTGGTCTAGTGTATATTGTTGTATTCGAACCTGTATGGAAGTGCTGGTTTCTTATAACATACTCCCTCCGTCCCAAAATTCTTGTCTTAGATTTGTCTAGATACGGATGTACCTAATACTAAAACGTGACTTTATACATCCGTATTTGGACAAATCTAAGACAAGAATTTTGGGACGGAGGGAGTAAATCGGAGGGGAAACACTCTTTTTCTCTTTCTTAAAAACAATGATGGTTCTTCATTGGCATATATCTGAGTGAGCTATCTTCATTTGTATGTACTGATGATACTTTTAATGACAACAGCTGGAAACTGACAATGAACAATTGGATCAGCTGCCCCCGGAAGATCATTCCCACATCTTACAGTATTAAACCTTGTGTGACTTGTTCCAAAACTATACAGCAACATATCAATAGAAAAAGAAATGTATGTGCATGCTACAATCTCACCCAGCTATGCAAAACCAATTTCCTGCATTCTTGCCAGGATGTATGTCTTCTAACTGTACATAGATCTAGCTTGTTACTGTCCTAGTGTGTAGGCCTAAATGCCATGCAGAATGGTGGACTGATCTTGGCCAGTGCAAGCAATGCCGATGGGAAGATCCAGAGCCCATCTCCACATATCAAACCAGATGCAACTGCCGGCACCATCAGTGCAGCCTTACTTCTGTCCATCATGTTCCAGACAAAGACTACTAAGCTTCCCACACACATGTCGATGGCAAAGCTCGCGCCGACGAGGAAAGGAACCCCCATTGCCATCGGTAGGGGAACCCACCTGCCATACTTCGGCGGCAAGAGGTCCCTCATAAGGTTGGCCACCACTGCAAAGCCAAATAACCCATAGCACAGCTGCAAGCAATGCTGGGGTAGAGCAGAGAAACCCTCGACACCAAGAATCGCCATGTTTCGGTAGATCAGAGCATACGGTGCCTTCCAGGGCCCTTCTGGGTTGCCTATGTCAAATGCTTTATAGAACAGCATGAATGTTAGTGGCCCAATGATACAGCCCATGGCAGTGCCAATAGCTTGAGCAATTAGCATTGATCTAGGTGATGTTAGTGTGAGATGCCCAGTCTTGAAATCATGCATCAGATCAGCAGATATTGACACCAGCGATTTCACCAGACCGCAGCCTACTAAGCCAGCCACTACACCAGAGTCTTTTCCAGCCCAGGCTGCAAGAATGAAGAGGGCAACCTTCCCATAATTGTAGGCCAGGTTGATATCAGTAAGGCCGGCACCATAGGCATTGCAGAAACCCAGGGCAGGAGCCAGTAGGTACGCAATGACAACATAGTACCACTTCATCTCGCGGAACATCATGGGGATGATAATTACTGCAGCAACTGATAATGCAACGTAGCCAGAGTAGGCTAGCCAGGAAGGTAGACTGTCTTTCATAAAAACTTCATTACGGTGAAGGTCATCAAGCACTGGAATGTCTTCATCTAAAAAATAGCATGAACACCAATCAGATTATCTATACATCACAAAGACTCTACATCATGCATTTATCAGAATGTTTACCTTTCTTTGTGTTCTTCAGATTTGATTTTTCAATCAGATTTTTGATAGTGAATACAATAATCTTGACAAAATTGTACAGGCCATCTCCTAGGATGAGAGCTATGCATATGAAGGCCTGCAGATTGAGACAAGGTAAGCAACAAGAATCATAGTCAGACATGTACACGGTGCAATAACCAAAAATAAATAAAGAAACAAACCTTGTAGCCTTGCAGACTGCTCATGCTGCTTTCTGGTATATTTGCTGGATACCAGTCGCCTTCCAAATCACTGATCAGAGGCCACATGACACCCCAGGAGAGAATGGCGCCAAAAAGGAGAGACAGATTAACGAGGTGGGAACAAATCATCCCTGCCCCAACATATGTGAGGCTGAAATCAAAGAAGAATCTGACAGCCCAAAAAATCAGAAGAAGAAAAACCAGAATCAGGTAAAAATGTTACTAGTCAAGAAAAGATTTAATATCACAATGAGCAAAGTGGACAATGTTACGTGTGTTTCCAAGCTGTTAGTCCAAAAGTAGGAAACTGCGAGAACCCACAACTGTCCCCACCAGAGTAAAACCACTGGAAGAAGCTCCAGAAGAAGCTGATTCCGAAGTATTTTGTGAATCCATTTACTTGCTGCCTAACATGAAGAAATAAAGGACTGATTAAAAAAGGATAATGGTGTTTGAATCTGCAAGTCCCGTGTTATGTGAAATAACCAACATACTTTGCCATAGCATCTCCATGAGGCGTATGGAATCCATTTATAAGCACAGCTGTTGCAGTCCCGCTTGGATAAGTTAATTTGTAGTCAATAATCATAATCTGAAATTTACAAAGTTCGACAGAAAAATTAATCATCTGTGTACATGTGATGTCAAACGTATAGAAGTTCTTGTAACCCAAGATAAGACTATGCAGAATCAAGGTTATTTTGAAGGATTCATAAGAAAAAATATGTTTACCCAAATATGACCAAGGACTAAAGCACATAGCTGACAACTCAAAACTTCTATGTACTTTTTTTCTTCAAAATTATGCTCTCAATGGATTGCAGCTGAAGATTAGAATAACAAATTTTCAAAAACATAATAACCGATGCCATAGGGCTGCCACCTCCCATAATTACCACATGTCATGACTCACGACTATGGTGCCATCAGATCGTGAATCGATCATGGAGGCCCATGGGCGTGGTTAAATCCGACTTGATGCAGCCGGAGGCAGAGAGGTTTTCCTCCATTGGAGGTGGTAGGAGCGGTGGCTCACTCTCCGTCCGGCGTGTGGTCTTTGTTTGCCGATCTTGCGGCAGGTTTTTTGCCGATGTCGTTGTGTGCCCGTGAGTGCATCATGATCAAAGGATCATCATGGTCTCTCATGGCATCACCCTCTCCCCTTTTGATGATAGGTGGAGGTTGTTGAAGTGTATAGGTAGATTGCCTAGCTCTTTCCATTAGTTCGGGCTTTTGGTTGCGTTGGTTACTGCATGAAGCTTAACATGGTATCAGAGCCTAAGGTCTTGAGCTCAAGTCCTAACTTTCGCAGTTTATCCAAAAAATGATGGTGCCCCCTCTGTGTCCACGTATAAGTCTCTTGAGCCATACCTCTTAGTCTTCTCATGTGTTGACTTCCTGCGTCACACGTGAGAGGGGATGTTGAAGTGTATGTGTGGATTGCCTAGGTCGGGAGGTGTTGAAGTGTATGTGGATTGTCTAGCCCTTTCCATCGGTAGACTTTTGGTTGTGTTGGTTAGTGCATGAATCTTAACATGGTAGCAGGGCCTAAGGTCTCGAGTTCAAATCTTGGCTTTCGCAATTTATCCAAAAATTGTTGTTAAAGCTTAACAGAGGCATGTTGCAGGACGTGGGGGATTACTGATTCGGTCTAATCAAAGATGATTGTGGCCAAGTCAGTGCACGATTGAGAGGAGTTCCGGTGGTGGCCTAGTGGCGGCTATCTCCGGTGGATATCAAGGTCGGTTCGCTCCGAGTAATGGGTCCAGCAGCTGTTGGAAGATCCACCATCAAGACGGTGACTGGAACACTATTCATATCTAGGTTAAATCCCGTGATATGGCTTTACTAGTCAAACGGCAACGACAAACTTGCGTCGTCTCCTTGTTGAAGGCATTGTCTCGACAAACTTGCATCCTCTCCTTGTTGAAGGCATTGTCCTTCTGTTGATGCTTTTACCTTTGATTTGAAGGATCCGGCATCCAAGATGAAAATCCATGTCCTGGCCTTCACAGGCTAGACTCAATGACATGGACACAAGTGTTTGTTTCAAGAGAATGACGACTTAGTGATAGGTGTTTGTTTGTCACATCTTGTAATGGCTCTACATTGTTATTCATTTCATCTACTCTATTGCATACCACGAGGTGTTCCCCAAGGTTTCCAAGGGTATTGCACAGATTGCAGTGCAGCGTATCCGATTGGTCCTAGAGTCCTAGTTAGCCTATCCCATTGGAACATGTCGAATTCAAAAATGTGCCCTGGCTTTTTATGTTTTGTAACAGTCCTTTCTTAGTGAATACTAGCAATGATCCTGCTATTTTTACTCAAAAAACAAGGCACATTCAGTAGGGACCATGAGGCCATCACCGGTCAAATCGGATATCATGAAAATGAAAGAAATGAAATCAGGAGCGAGGAGCTCCACAATTCGAAGGCAAAAAAAGCATGAAAATGGTACTCCTAGTACTGACGTCAAACTACATCACCAAAGTAAATCAAAGTCAGCTTGCCTAATCCGTGAGTTGGTCTTATCCTTATAAACAAACAAGGATAGCAAGACAGAGACAAAAAGACCTTACGCCGCACGCGTAGGCGTAGGACAGCAGAAGGAGCCAACATTTTTCAGTCGTCGAAGCAAGAGCAATACAGATAGTGACAAGGAGTTGATTACCACTTTGACAGTATGCAAGCAACATTTGTAGAGGAGCAAGTTTGGAAGAAAGGTAAGCAGTTCGCCAGCTCTAGCTTGTGAAGGTAATTTGGAACAGTATGGGGAGCACGGGCATACGGACCTTCCTGAGAGGGACGAGCGCGATGATCCCCACGAAGCTGACGGCGAGGAGGAAGCCGGTCATCCACGCAATGCCGGGCTCCTTGTAGCTCCCTGGCACGTTGCCCTCCGTCTCCTCCCCGGCCATCTCGTAGGTGTTCTTGTCGAGCGCGAGCAGGTAGGACCCGAACCCGCCTGTGGGAAGGGAAGGGAAAAATCCAAGGACGCGTCTCAATCCAAGGTCTCCACTTGACAAATTGGCGGATGTGATGTGTGGCCAGCACTGACCTCCGACGGCGATGCTGTAGCAGGCGACGGCGCAGGTCTGCACGACGGTGTTCTCCTGGCGCGTGAAGGGGCGGGCGGCAACGCCGAGGCGGGCCAGCGCCTTGGTCCAGCCGCGGAGGACGACGAAGGCGATGAGCGCGGCGGAGACGTTGAGCGTGGGAACGAGGCCCGTGGTGAGGTTGAGCTTCATCACGATGACGCTGTACATGGCGGTGCCTTAAAGGCACATGCCTTTGGGTCACTGACATGTGGGCCAGCCACCTGTTGAACCCACATGTCATAGACACAAAGGTAGGTGCCTTGAGGCACCGAAGCATTGTCCGCATCTGCTACACAGCCTCACGGGGAGCAGCCACCGATTGCTACGGTGCGGAGCATACATTGGTGTGGTGTGTCCTCTTCCGTCGCCTTTCCATCATTTTCTGAAGTGGTCGCTCCCAAGCTCCCAAGCTTTTTGGTCGAAGCTAGAGGGCCCAGCAGGTGAGATTTTTCTCATGCTCTCTGTATCCGCAATTCTCCATTCTAACCGAAGAATCAAGAATGTCCTTCTTGCTCCATGGATTCTGCCTTGGAATCACTCACAGCTCTCTCGAGAGAGCTCGCTCGGTGCCAGTAGTACAAGTGTAGAGCTCACTAATGATTAACGAACACCGTCCTCTGTCCGGCGGTCCGGTGACTCCGTCTGGCCCCGGGCTCGAATCTGACGCTGCGAGAATCTGTCACCACTGTGTAGCAGGACAGGCGGAGGAAGCACCGGAGGCCGCCGCCGTCGCCGGGCGTCGAGCTCGCGATGGCGCCGCACTCGCGGGACGGCCGCAGAGTCCATTTCGAGGAGATCCGCGAGCTCGACGGCGACGGCGACGGCGACGACTCCGAGCTGGGGGCCGGGCACGCGCGGGGCCGCGTGCCGCCGTGGCGGGAGCAGCTGACGGCGCGCGGGATGGTGGCGAGCCTGGCGGTCGGCATACAAGCAAACTGACGGGAGTTGCTCCTCGGCACGCATCGTCGATAAAATATCTGCTGATCAACGCTCGGGAACGAGCCCCGTCCAATCAGAACTCCAGATCCAAGGGGCTGAAATTGGAGAGATTTTTATCTAAAAAATAACAGAGTCAACGAAGATCCGGGCGAGATCGATCTGCGGACTGCGGTGGCTCGAAAAATCTTTTACTGACACGATTGCGTAGCTGAAAGAAAGGTGACTCCGCATAAGGCTAGCCATTACGGTAACATGCACTTGGGAGGTGCAGGAGTCCCAAGTGCATGTTATATAACCGGTGCTTCGTCTTCCCTGGTCCCCCTGCTGTATTGGTGACCGAGGCCTGCTCCTGCACCTTTCATAGTTAATTCAGACAACGGATTCAGATCCGCAAGTAGGACCCTTCTTCCTCCTGTCGACGCCGACCGCCATTGCCCCTTTTACTGCTCGCTCTGTTGCTCGCAAACTGGTTGCTTGCACCGTGTTTCTTTGGCATGGCCACCGCCGGCCATGGCCGTGCCCATGTCTACCCCACCAGCGACCATTTAGTGCCTGGGTCAGCGGTGGACCTGCAAGCAGGTCTGGCTGTATGCCTGTGTATTGCCATATGAGATTGGTCAAAAAACAATGTTTTTTTCTTTCGCTCGTCCTTTGCACAAGAAAGTTGCACAATTGAAATATCTAGATATATTGGACCTCCAAGCTACAATCTAAAATTTCTGAATATAATGTAGTTTCATACTCAGAAACATGCAAATTGTCTACATGATACAAATTGAAATTTACAGGTATATAATGTAGTTCCATATTCAGAACATGCAAATTGTCTACATGATACAAATTTAAATTTACTGGTTATGAACTTATGATTAAAAAATAAGTAAATTTTATTGCAGAGTAATTGAAGAGGGAAGAGGACCATAGACATTGCTTCTCTTTTTTGGAGACATGCTTCTTTAAACTTCTCAAGGTATGTATTATGTAGACTTCTTTTATGCAAAACTGACACTTAATTGAGAATTTTAGTATGTCTGCAACAACATATTATTCTATTTCTATGTGCTGACATTCTATATTTGTGGTCGAAATTGTGGACCACCCTGTCTTCATATCCTAGCTCCGCCACTGGGAGTAATACGCAGCAAATCACACGGATTCTCGTCTGAAAGGACTAATCAGTGATCACTGATCTTTTTTTTGTTGCGAACTAGTAGTAGTGATCACTGATCTGATCAAGATACATAACAAATATGAGGATGAAATTGGGGAGAGGAGGCAACTCTCCTTGCATGGCTTGCTTCCAGACCAGTCCGGGAAGCGCCTCTTTCATTAAATCAAAGGTGTTTTATTGTTTGTTTGTTTTTGGCGAGGACTAAAAACTTGTATAAAAACAAATATGTCTGACGGTTGATATTATTTCATAATTTTTTTAGGGAAATGACCAAAATAAGCCTTGAACTTGTAGACGAAATCTAAATCAAACTGAACTCTCAATCCCAGAAATCAGCATACCAAACTCTATTATCCCGGTCTATTTTGAACCTTGAGAAGATTTAGTTGGTATTCCTTTTTCTTTGTTTTTTTTCTTTTTGTTTTCCTTTGTTTTTTCTTTGGTTTTGTTCTGCTTTTTTCCTTGTTTTTCCAATGGTTTTATCTGGTTTTCCTTTCTTCTTTATACTTTTTGTTTTTTCTTCATATTGTTTGTTTTTTCGCTTTTATTTTGTTTCTTTATCGGTAACCGGTTTTCTTTTTTACACATGTCTAATTATTCTCAGTACCCAATGCACAATTTCAGCACACACGTGTAATATTTTCTAATACACTTTCGACATTTTTCAAATACATTAGATAAATTCTTTTAAATACAAGTTTACAATACTTTTTTGAATACACGGTAATACTTTTTCAAATAGATGTTTTATATTTTCTTAAGGACAATCTAACGACTCAAAGGGGCAGATTCAACAAATCCCGGCCGTCAAATCAGGTCAATCTAACGACTCAGGTTGTTTCAATGGTGAGCGCTCAACATGTTTAGTGTGCAGTTAGTATCATACCAAATATTAATGCCAATGCTAATCACATACTTAATGCGTAAATCATATCCTACCTAATATTTACGTGTAATTAATATATTACCTAATATCAACGTGCATTGCACGTACACATTTACTAGTTTTATAAACTACATGAACATTTTTTTACATTGTTACACATTTTTTAAATTGTATACACTTTTTCAAACACATGTCACATATAGTATTTTAAGGCTATGGCATTATTTTTTACATCATGCAAACATTTTTCTTTACATTGTATACGCTTTTTTAAAGGTCACAAGCACATTTTTTGAAACTCATGAACATTCTTGAAATGCTACCATTTTTTTATGGATGAAAGATTTTTTTTGAATCACAAGAATATTATTTTCCATTGTACAAACATTTTTTTAAATGCCACATACGTTTATCTAAACTCGTGATGTTTTTTAGATGCCATTAACATTTTCTTTACACATTTTTTCAGGTTTCAAAATTTGTTTCCATTTTTTAAATTTTCCAAAAGTGTTTGCACTTAAAAAATTTCTTCAGATTTAAAAAATGTTTATATTTCAAAACGTGTTCGCTTTTCAAAACTGATTGCTTTTTCAAAAAATAGTTGTTTTCTTAAAGTATTCGGAATTTTCAAAAGTGCTCACACTTTATAAGTTTGGCCATTTCCAAAATTGTTTATGTTTTCAATATTTGTTTGCCCCTAAAAAATGTTTTCAAAGTTCGACGTTTCGGTGCGTCTTTAACTATTCCGGGCCTCTGATTATATCACTCATAGTCATGTGTTCTAGTGGCTATCAAGATAAGCTCAACTCTGCCAGGTCCCAAGTTCGACTCCGGTTTTTACGTCACGTACTAAGAAAAAAGCTTCATGCCTGGTGGGCCGGCCCAATCGAGTCCACGTGCAACAATTCCAAGATTTAACATGCCATGTTGACAATCCCTGTTTGGGAACTCTCTCAAGGTTCAAAATAGACTGGGATCAGAGAGTCCGGTGTGTTGATTTCTGAGATTTGAAGTTTGGGATTCGATTTAGCTTTCGTCTACAAGTTCAAGGTTTATTTCAGACTTTTTCCAAAAAAATTAACGTCCACACAAATCTCTTAATGTTTGTTTGGTTCACAAAATTCTAAAATATAAAGGGATAATTAGATTTATGCCCTTAGTTGTGTCCCACTCGATTGTTTTACCCCTAATTTCCAAAAGTCATCGGTTTAGTCCAAGTCACTTCGCTCCTCTTATGCTTCCGCCCTTCGACCGTTTGACCGTCAGTTTGAAAAATTCATAACTAATTCATACTAAATCAGAAAAATGCAAATAAGACACCAAAATGTTCAGAAAAACATCAGCTATATGTTAGTGTCATTTGCTCTTATAACAAAAATGTTGGAAAGTGTCCATCCAAGTTTTAGCTCTTATGATACCACCATGAATAGTAAATTCTAAAAGAATTAAAAAAATCTAAAAAAATTGGTGGCAAAGAATGACAAATGTTTTAAGTCCTTGCCAAGTTTCATAATGGAATCACGTCCGTGGATGTCGTGCCAAAAAAAATCAGCACTCCTATATAGAATGTCTTTTTGCCACGACTTCCACGAATATCGTTCCCTGATAAAACTTGGTAGGCACTTAAAATATTTGTCATTCTTTGACACCAATTTCTTTTTACAATTTTTTGAGTTTTTATTTTACTATTCATGGTGGTATCATAAGATCTAAAACTCGGATGGCACTTTCCAACACTTTGGTCATGAATGCAAATGACGCTGACATATAGGTGATGTTTTTCCGTACATTTTGGTATCTTATTTCCATTTTTCTGATTTAGTACGAATTAGTTATGAAGTTTTCAAACTGACGGTCAAACGGTCAAAGGGCGAAAGTGAAGGAAATATGCCCTAGACGCAATAATAAAGTTATTATTTTATATTTCCTTATTCATGATAAAGGTTTATTATTCATGCTAGAATTGTATTGATCGGAAACTTAAATACATGTGTGAATACATAAACAAATACCGTGTCCCTAGTATGCCTCTACTAGACTAGCTAGTTGATCAAAGATGGTTAAGTCTCCTACCATAGACATGTGTTGTCATTTGATAATGGGATCACATCATTAGGAGGAGGATTTGATGGACAAGTCCCATCCGTTAGCTTAGCATATTGATAGTTCATT